GCACACCACCTACTGGGTATGTACCCTCAACCGAAGTACATGCCCTTGACCGGAATCAAACCTGGGGCCAATGCTCTACCCATTCAGCCAAACTGGTTAGGACAAGTCAATCAATACCTTCAATCAATATTTTCCCTTGAATAGAGTGGCACTTTCAGAACAGAGAGTTATGATGTTCCTGGATGTTATAGCATATTTGTGTGTGTTTAAGAAGGTGTAAATTCATGCCCCACTGAATACATACTTTTGAATTCTTTTATAAAGGTTAAATCTGTTTCAATATTGACATATTTTTTATTTCTCCATGCTAGGAATCACATCATAGCCAACAAAATAAAGGCTGGAATCATACTAAAATTAAAATATAAACTTGTTTACAATGTCACTTTGTTGTGGTCATGGGTATAAGATATAGATTAATGAAATTAAGGAGAAAAGGAGGGAAGAGAGGTATAAATGAGAATTGAGGCAGCATGGAAGTCTGATGTGAATAATACAGTGTGTGCAGTGTGCTGCATAATGTGATGGCTTAAAGCATGTCTGAAGATGGCCTACAGTCCTCCCTTCAGGAGGTGGAGATATTAGATTCCATCCAAAAACCAGGCTAGCCATTATCACTATCTTGATGAAGAGAATACAGTGATGACTGAATGACTTCAGAAGCTAGATTAGAAGAACCCATACAAATCTTGAGATCCTGGACCCTAGAATCTGTAATAATCTGGCAATCTTGAGGCCATCATATGGAGAAAACATGTAAAGAGACTACTGAGAGAGGTGATGGGGAGGAGATGGGGAGGAAAGAGAAGAGAGAGAGGGAGGGAGGGAGAGAAAGAGAGAGAGAGAGAGAGAGAGAGAGAGAGAGAGAGAGAGAGAGAGAGAGAGAGAAGAGCATAGTTGTGTTTAAGTTATTTAGTCCTAGGACCAAATATTTACATGAAAAAACCATAAATATGATTCTAGTCCCAGCCACCTTATAATGCAATTTATGTGATACCCTTAATTTTAGCTGGCCTTCTCACCTCCAGATTTGTGAGCACAATAAATTGTTTTATACTATTGCTTTGGGATGGCTTGTCACACAGCAATGAATAATCATAACAATGTCAGCTTTAAAATGAGCCAGTCACATTACACAAATACCTAATATGATCTCATAGATATATAGACTTTTCTAATTTTGTTTCATATAACCTGGCACATACTTAGGCTATTAAAGAGAGATAGGTGTCCAGAAGAAATGTCTAATATAATCCAGTGTACTTAAAAAAAGAAAAGATGTCATTCACTCAATATATATTTATTGAGTATCTACTGTGTGCCTAGTAGTTTTTTTTATGTTCTAGCAATATACCACTAAGACAAAATATATATTATTTGTCCATAGGGTCCCAAGACATAAAGACATCAAATAAAGAAATATGTATAGAATAATTCCAGGCAGTTATGTGATAAGAAGAAACAAAAAACCATGCAAGGGATTTAGGAGTGCACTATTTAAGATGGAGTAATCATAAAAGTCATTTCTCAGAAGATTGTATTTTAAAATTAACATTCCAGAATGAACAGCAAATGCATCTGTCCTGACCCATGAAAAAGAGCAATAGGGATAATATGTCTAAAGTAGAGTGAGCAAAGAGGAGGGATACATGAAATGATGATGACAAATTTGAATTCTGTTTTAGGTGAGATGGGAAGCTATGGGAGGATCAGGAGATGGAGATGATTTCAATCATCTTCTCTTACATGAATACAACAGAGAAGATTAGCAACTGACAACAACCCCTGTCCTATTATTCCTTGGCAAAGGGTAAGAATACATGTCTCAGACTTTACGTCACAGGGTGTAAATAGGTGCCTAATATCTAGTTAATAAATGTGATTGGATCTAACACATACCTGACCCATAAAAATTTCCCCTGTTCCAGCTGATAGGAAAACAGGTAACACTCATAGGACCCTTAGTAACCAAAGGGTGAGGATGGCAGAGGCATCATCAGCCCAGCTGCCTGAATAACTGCAAGGAATAGATTCTCTACGCCTACAGCTACCTCCCAACACACACTCCCAAATCATGCACACAACATCACCATTATCATAGGTTAAACCTTGCACTCTTTCATGTAGAAAATCTAGTCTGCAGTGAAAAGAAAAACCAAAACAAAAAAAACCATCCCCTTTTATAAGAGCGGCTGGACTGAAAAGATAATGAAAATGCTTTTTAATCAAGTAGGAGAGATATATCATTAGTTTACACAGGTCAGTAATTGTGAATGTAACAAGGTGTGGTCAAATTTAGAGTGTAGTTTGAAGTTTAAAATTCAAAATATCAGTTAAAATTTTTGAAAATTATAACAATTCTTTAAATATTTTTGTGAAATTAGATAATATAATAGACTTTTCCTGACTCACTTTTCCTGAGAATAGATGACACAGAATTCTACAGTGAGTGCAAAATAGACACTTTCTTATGTAGAATTTTAAAAGGTAGTGAAAAACACAGATTCTATGATTCTTGGTCTATATAGACAAGTAATGAGTCAGAGACCAAATTTGATTAGAAGGATATCTTGAAGAAAATTGTGCGATGCACCTTTTTCCAAGCTTAAGTTGGCTGAGGGAGAACCTAGTTCACCATTTCAATCCTACTAAAGGGCTTCCCATAGGGTCAGGTCTCCATTCCAAAGAGGACCCAAGCTGGTCAGGGGAGAGCATTTTAAATTTTCAAGTTTGAAGTTTTAATAGTATATTTTAAAATATATTTTATTGATTTTGTACAGAGAGGAAGGGAGAGAGATAGAGAGCTAGAAACATCGATGAGAGAGAGTCATCGATCAGCTGCCTCCTGCACACCCCCCACTGGGGATATGCCCGCCACCAAGGTACATGCCCATGACCGGAATCGAACCCGGGACCCTTCAGTCCCCAAGCCGACACTCTATCCCTTGAGCCAAACTGGCTTTCGGCTTAATAGTATTTTGGATTATGCATCCAAAACACTAACAAATGTGTGCTTGCTATTTAAATGTACTGTAGGAATCTCTATTTGTAAGAATGAGCAGAAAGATCACGGGGTGCCTGACTTTTCTTCCTGAAGAAGGAAATATGAAAACACTGCATGAAAGTTGAAATGACCACAGGACACCAAAATAAAATAATGTCTTAATCATGTTAGGAATCATGCTCTTTCAGCACTGGTTCAACTCACAACAGGAAAGAAATGAGGGAATTTCTAAATACAGTGAATCACGACAGGGACTTTAGGTGGAATGGCATGTTATCTAACAGGACTTGGGAAAGCCCTGGGCTCAGGCTACCAATCATGTGACTAGGAAATCAACATATTTTCTTATCAAATTATTAAGCAACTACTTGGGAGAAATGCAATTTCTTTAAAAAGTTTAAGAAAAAAGCATCACTGCTATAATATATTTATAAATATTCTAATAAAATATTAAAACATGAAATTTACCTTCAGTTCTGAGCTTGTTATCTACATGGAGTGTAACCTAAAATGTTTATTTTGAAGTGATTCATATTTTAAAAAAATAAAATAATGAACTCAGAAACTTTCTGGAATTTTCCCTCCCTATGAAGCCTATACTTTCATTTTGTCCAAAGGTATTCTCAAATGGCAATGAGAATTCTATGCACGATATATCCTGGTGCTTCCTCAGAAAACCTGGTCTGTGGGTCTTGATTTAATTACAGAAAAAGAATGGGGAGAAAATAAACCTAGGTTCTACTTCTACTGTATCATGACACAATGAATTGAAGACACTACAAAGATTTACAAATTCAGAGCACTTAAGGATAATTTCTTTGCTATAATAAAAATAAAACCATATTTCTTTAACTGTATTTCTTGGTCTTTGTGGCAGAAAATAGATGCCTCATGGTATTGTAGCAATTTTTCCTCCGGCAGTGTAATCTGGGACCCTTTGACAAGGTTATTTCTGTATTCAATAAGGTTATGGTCAAACGTGATTTTATAAATTATGTGAATGACACTGCTGAGAGCTTTCTGGTAATAATGACTATGAAAATATGTATTTCAGATGAATTAAAGGGATAAAATTATAAATTGGAGAAATACATTTTAGGTCCTTTGTAATAACACAAATAAAAACTGTTAGGATGGAAAAAAGCAAATCATTTCCTGAGCATATATTTGCTGTGGATTGAGTTCATCCTTTACAAAAGGTGCCTGAGCAACACAGGCATTTTATGCTGGACACATTGCCCTTTGTACATGGATTCAATATAGCTGAGGATGATCCTGTGATCAAACTATATTCAATGCATCATTTTTCTCTAGTGAGTTCCTATCCTTGATAAAATAATGGAAAAAAGGATTCTACATTGCATTCCTGACTTTTCAATGTCTTTCTCTAATCTCAGTCTGTATAAACTCTACCCATTGTCTAAGACATAGTGCAAATGTCATTAGATATTCCCTAATAACCTGTTCAAGAAGTTACTATATATTTTAAATATTTCTATAACGTTTTCTTCTGCTTGCCAAACACTGTATCATGTGACTATTAATTTATTCATTTTATTTTTAGTACCTGACAATAGAATCCTTGAATACAAGTTAATGTTTTATAGATATCAATATAATCTCACAATTTAAAGATCTGCTTCTAATAGGGATTTAATAAATGTTTATTAACCATTAAGTTGATAAATCTGTGAAACTCCTAAAGTAATCACACAAACTACATAACAGTGATTAATGGTCTATGCTACAATTGCATTTTAAACTGTTTTTCACTAAAAACATATGATTAGAACTATTCAATGGCACCACTAATAGTATGTCATGAAAACTATTCAATGCAAATATAAGGCAGTGTGATTAAGATTTAGAAATTTTAAGTTTTATTTTTAACTAGACATCATTCATTATTTATAAACATTTTTTCTGTTTATGTATATATGCAAATTTGAGGAAATATTTTATATCAAATCTGTGTTATAATAATCTCTAAACTTACCTCTCACAATGATGTTGGTGGACTTTTTTGCAGGGTTTCCCACATTGTTATTGGCAACGCAGCTGTAAGTACCAGCATCTTCTGAAGTGATAGCAGGTATGGTCAAAGTTCCTCCATGCAGAATAGTCTTGTCAGACAGAGGCCCAAAGGACCTGGCCCAGCTGAGAGTCGGTGCAGGTTGTCCTCCTGTCGTAACACATACTAATGTTATAGCCTCTCCAGGATTTACAACTATAGGGTCATCCACCAAGAGTTTAATTGACGGAGATGCTAAAAGACATAAACAAAAAAACAAGTACCTATTTAGATCTACTGCAACCAGAATTCAACAGCATGCTTTGTATTTATTCAAACAATTGAAATAAAGTATGGTTCTCTTTAGTCAAAATCTTATTGTATTTATCAAATTAAAACCATATATAATTATTATATACTAGAGGCCCAGTGCATGGAAATTTATGCCCTGGGGGGAGAGGGGGAGGTATCCCTCAGCCTAGCCTGCGCCCTCTCACAGTTTGGGTGTCCTCAGGGGAAGTCCTGCTTTTAACATAGCACATGTGTAAATACACATCCTACCAGCTGTAAATATTCTGTACATAAACAGTGCTCACAATTAATTGTGTTTCCAGTCAGATTTTCAGATTGATAATCTTCCCAGTACTTAATGATAGAAGGCATGGGTCACCATAGCAATTTCTCTAATGTTAAAGATCACTACCCAACATTTTAGCATGCTCCATGTGCTGGCTGATAGGAATACAATAGATGATAGGTGAATAGATAGATGATAGATAGAATAGATAAATTGGTCTTGGAAGAGAAATGTGATGAAGTTGGGATGAGAGAGGGACAGAGAAAGAAAGAGAGAGAGAGAGAGAGAGAGAGAGAGAGAGAGAGAGAGAGAGAGAGAGAGAGAGAGAGATTGAGAGAGAGAGAGGGAGAAGGCTGATCACTAGATGATTTGGTTCAGTAGATGGAGCATAGGGGGCATGCAAGAAGCAGACAATTACTTCTATCTCCCCCTTCCTCTCTAAAATAAAAATATAATAAAAAATAAGTATAAGGCTGATGATGAGGAGGAGAATGAGGGGTTGGGAAGATTAAAAGGAGGAGAAGAGTAAGAAAAAGAAAGGAAGAGAAAAGAAAGAAGAAATGCCAGTCTATTGTTTCTATTTTCCAAAATCCTAAGCCCAGTAACTACAATCTGAACAATATATTTTAGGAAATATCTATGAAAAGGGAATTCTTCCCTCCACTCTTAGGGGGCGGGGGAAATTGGGGTAGGGGGTGGCCTAAGCCACAGACACTTCAGTGCAAACAAAAAAGAAATAGAATTGGCCTCTTGATCCCCATATCCAAATCCCAAACATTTGGATGTTTAAGAGCAGAGAGGACCTACGTGCCCTTCCGGGTTTGAGATCACCGAGAGTGATTGGTTAGACATACTGTGAGTCTCACAGAAAAAGCTCCATACTTGATAGGAACAACCCTACAAATGTGGAATGGAAGGAGAAGAGAGACAGGCCAAGCTAATTGACCTCACACAATAGAAATGAGGGAGGTCTCAGGCTTATCAAAAAATTCAGGCTTCATGTCTCCCACTTTGGTAAGCATAGCACCCCCTTGAAATTATTATTTTTAATTAAATTTATTGGGATGACATCTGTTCTTTATACTATACGTTTCAAGTATACAACTCAATAAAACATCATCTACACACTACATTTGTTGACTATTGCTCCAAAGTTTCTTTCTGTCCCATCCTCCCCACCTTTGCCCACCTCCACCTAGCCCCACCTCCTTTCCCTCTATCTATCACCACACTTTCCTCTGTGCTTATATGCTATATATATATGGTTTTTTGAATAATTCTTCACATTCTTTCATCCAATCCACTCTCTCTCCTCTCCTCTGGCAGCTATCAGTCTGTTCCTTCTATCTATTTTTTTAAAAATCTGGTGGCTTATTTCCAGATCTTGGCTATTGTAAATAATTCTGCTATTAATATAGGGGTGCATATATTGTTTCTGGTTGGTGTTTCAGTATTCTTAGGATATATTCCCAGAAGTGAAAATCAAAAGGCAGTACAATTTTTAATTTTTTGAGGAAACTCCATACAGCTTTCCATAGTGGCTACACTATTCTACATTTTCACCAACAGTGCACAATAATTCTATTTTCACCACATTCTCTCCAGCACTTGTTATTTGTTGATTTATTAATATTAGCCACTCTGACAAGTGTGAGGTGATACCTCATCATAATTTTTATTTGTATATCTCTAATGATTAGTGACCTTGAGCATCTTTTCATATGTCTAATGACCATCTATATGTCCTCTTTGAAGAAGTGTCTATTCAAGTCCTTTGCACATTTTTAACCAGATAGTTCATCTTTCTGGTCTTGAGGTGCTTAAATGGTACATTTGCACAATGGAATGCTACAAAGCTGTATAAAAGGAACTCTCTTACCAAATGAGACAAGATGGATGACCTAGAGAATATTATGCTAAGTGAAATAAGACAGTCAGAAAAAGACAAATGTCATATGGTCTCACTAATATGTGGAATCTAATGAACAAAATAAACTTATGAACAAATTGGAACCAGAAGCATAGATACATGGAACAAGCTGGCCATTGCCCCTGAGAAGGGAGGTGGGGTGAAGGGATTAGCTAAAGAACATATATGCATACCCCATGGACAATAATTTGGTGAAAGCCAAGAGAGGAGTAAGCTGGGCAGGGTGGGGGGAACTAATAAGGGAGAGGTATATCTGCAATAATGTCAACATTAAAAATCTATAACAATAAAATCACAATATGCAAATTGACCAAATGACTGAACAGCAGAACGACCATCCAGACAACCTTCTGGATGACTATGCTATCACATGTTCTGGCTCCAGACCAGCCAAGGCAGAGGCAATGTGATTGGTCAGGGTGGGGGCTGCCATCACCCCACAATCGCCCTGCAGAGGGAGGCCCAGGCCACCAGCCAGTGGGCCATCTATTGGTGGGCTCTGCTATCACCCCAAAGAGAGAGGCCCAGGCCACCCTTTGTGGGCGATTGATCAAGGGGCTCCACTGAACCGGGGAACCCTGGGTGTGTAGTGGTGGATACAGCCAGCACCAGGCCAAGGGAAATATAGGTAGGGAGTGGGGCCATGAGGCAGCTGGGGCTGTGAAGGCCTACCCTTGCATGAACTTTGTACATCAGGCCTCTGATTTTTAATTTAAAAAATCTGGCAGAAATGGCAAACCCACATTGATTTCTACAATTATGGCAGAATAGGTGGTTGAGATAAAAATATAATTAAAGTTTAGACGACTAAGAACATATACATTCAAACCTGAGTTTGTAAACTGAGATTCATGCCCACTACAATTTTAGTGAGTCAGTTCCTCATAAGGTCCTCTGGATGTGTGATGGAAATATTTAGTTTGGGGTTAATTATGAATATATTCTGTAAGAAGAAAATACAATTTTAGCTGAGATCAATGACTTTTTGGTTATTTTATATTTACTGCTACCTGACATAATTGATTATTTAAGATAAAGATGCTTTTAAAAATTGAAAACAATGCATTGCTAATCATCTTAGACACTTTGGCCATCCATGGATTAGGACTTCTAATTTTTAAATAGGAGTGTAGTTTTCCACTCCAGACTTTTTGATTAGATATAAAGCTGTCAGTTGCCTTAAGTTAGAGATATTTAAGATGTATTTCTTTGACTATAAGTAATTAGAAAGTGAGTCATAGAGAAAATCAAGAGTATTGTGAAACATAAAAAAAAAAACAGAATATGCTCCAATTAAAAAAAATTCTCAGCTAAAATAGAATTTTTCTTGTTTTGAATCCCCCCCAAAGCAGGTCCTGATACAAGTAGTGTTTGAGTGGAGATTCCAAGATACATGTTAACAGAGCAGAGAAGGGAGAGAGGAATAGAAGAACAGTAAAAAAGAACTTATGAATGTGTTGTCACTGTAGGAAACTTGGCTCCCTGCTATTGGAAAATCTTTAAGAGACAGTTACATGAAACATACTCAGAACTCTCCTTCTAAAGAGCAAAGAGGCTGAGCAGGGTGTTTATCTACCAACTCTTGTCTCTAATTAGTTGAGGAATATTTTATGGTTTTTAACATCCCAACCTTGTGCTTTGGCTGAACACATTGCAGGGTCCAGAGAAATTCTTCAGACAGAGGACATTGAATGTGGAATCTGTGAAAAGAAACCACAGTAACCTCCAGAACATTCTATAAGAAGACAGGATTCTATAGTGTCTACTAGGACATCCTTTTCATGTAAATTCAGTGATCAGTAGTGGTGACTTCGACATAATGTGAAAAAGATTAAGAAAGAAGAACAAGGAAGAATTTAGTGGTGATTAGGGGCACTTTTATTCATCAGGAGAGTGGCACAAAATGAAATTAATATGAGTACATCATGAGTTAAAGGAAGACAGGAGAAAGATACTATGAATAAACTTTTGTTTCTTTTCATGGCCCTACATTTTTAAAACTTGAAAGTTTGAACTTGAAAATTTGAAAGCAGAGTAAAGATGTTCTTAATAATACATAAAAGTCTACTGAAAGTGACCTTATTTACAACACCATGGGTTCCAAACAAGGAGTTCCCTAAATGTTTGGTTGGCAAAGCATCTTTTGTTAGGAATGAATGTCATTAGGTATTGCTTATTCTCATTAGTACAACACATTTCAACACTTTCATTTACTAGTATTCATTCATTTAATATTTATTGAGCACATACCCTGTATTACTAGGATCTCTGATAAGCACCTGGGATATATCAATAAACAAAGAATCCCTTCACTCAAGCTTACATACTAGTAGGAAGAGAACCAGCATTTTCCCCATAACTCCCATTGTGTTAGGTAACTTAACATACTTCCATCATCTGCCTGCTCTCTGAAGTCATGTGCAAGTATGATATCTGACCAGGATGTTTGAGCCATTAGATCACAGTGAGTCAAAAAGTTTGCCAAAATATACTTCAATGAAATAAGACTTTATAAAATAGAACAAGTGTCATTTATATTTTGAAATAGTCATTGGCCAAAACCAGTTTGGCTCAATGGGCCTGCAGACTCAAGGGTCCTGGGTTCGATTCCAGTCAAGGGCATGTACCTTGGTTGCAGGCACACATCCAGTAGGGGGCATGCAGGAGGCAGCTGATTGATGTTCCTCTCTCATCAATGTTTCTAACTTTCTATCCTTCTCCCTTTCTTTCTGTAAAAAAAATCAATAA